AACACAGAACCTCAGATCACAGCCTGGCTCAGCCTAATTCCAAATGTTTTTCAGAGAAAGGAAACAGGAGGGCTCGTGTTGGGATGGATTTGTAAACGCTAAAACAATATTTTTGACATTTAATTGGGTCTGCAAGCAATTCATCACACTAAAGTTACCCTATTTGATGATTATTACTGACCAAAAAAAGCTAAAACAACATTAAATGTAACTTTAATTTGGATGATTTAAGCTCTGCGATTTGGTGTGAAAGTTGTAACTTAGGAACAGTTCCTCAGAAACACATTGGTTAGGTATAATTGTTTCAAAGATTTGACCTTTTTTAGGCTTTAGGTCGACATTCCTTTGCAGCAATATCTTGTTTTGCTTTATTCATCTGTCTATGGTGGTATTGAGTTTTCCATTTTTCTAAAGTGTGTTTTTGTTATTCTCCAGAATTAGACAGAGAAGACCTAATTTTAACCACAGAGACTGAACAGGTAAGACATATCTTCTTTAATTGACAGCATGTTGACATTATATGTATCATATAAACTTGTAGTTTCGTGATCATGCAGTTTAGGTTCAGTACAGTTCTGTCACATTTGCCATCTTGTCTGCTATTATTACCTGTCAGTAACAACAACCTGGTTGATCAATTATTTATACTGGATGGACATTTGTCTGTTTTTGTTCCATTTGTTGCACGTTGCATGTTTTAAATGTGTGCCGTGTTGGATTTTGTTTGGTGTGTTGTTTTAATGTTCTGCGAGGGAGACCTGATTAAGTTTGTGTGTCTGAAGGCTGTGTGTGTTGTGATATTTATTGTTTGAGGCTGATTGTTGTTTTGTAGGTAGCTGTCACAGAGTTGAAATAACCAGTGGTAGAAGCATACAGGGACTAGCGACCAGGTTTCGCTGAACAGACCGCTGCAGAAATGATGACGCTGATGCTTTGTGTGTATGTGATGTTTGCAGACACTGTTAGTGCGCAGTTGTGTGTGTGTGTATGTGCTGTTTGATGTTGTATGTGAACTGTGTGTGTTGTGTGTGATATGTGTGTTACTTGTTTGATGCTGTGTTTTGATGCAGATGTTTGCAGTTATGTAGATTCGTACAGTGCTGCAGATGAGGTGTTTTTTTGAAGAAACAGCAGTTGGAATCGGTGGGAGAGGCTGCAGTGAGTGGTTGCAGAAAAGCGGTGGAATCGGTGGAGAAAGGCTGCAGATTGAGGTGGTTGCAGAACAGTTGGTGGAATCGGTGAGGAAGGCTGCAGATGAGAGATGAGGTGGTTGCAGAAACAGCAGTGGAATCGGTGGAGAAGGCTGCAGATGAGGTGGTTGCAGAAACAGCGGTGGAATCAGTGGTGGAGGCTGTCACAGAGGTACCTGAGCCAGAACAGGTGACTGAACCCATAGTCAGTCCTGCATCCCCAGAAGAGGATGACGCTGAAGTAGAAGTGTTGGCTGAAGAAGAGGCGACTGAAGTCCCAGCTGAGCCTGTTACAATGACAGAGGTGCTGAATTGATAAAAAAATACTTTCCTCTTCACTCTTTCTTATCTTCTTCCAAGAAAACACAAAATGATGCAGAAGTGCCTTATTGACCTTTAGGTAGTTTATACATTTTTATTTTGTGATCGTCTGTTGCTTGTTGTGTGCAGCATGTGGCTTGGAACATTTGTTATTGTGGAAGTTCCCCATCACCCATTTATCATTCAGTAGTATTAGTAGTATTGCTAGAAATGTTTTCCTGAATAACAAACAAAAGAAAGCTTTCTCTTCTCTTTTTAGCAGCTTAGAGCTCTAAATAGTAACATTTTTTTTTCATTGGTTAGGTTATCAAACATAGTAGAACTTTCTCAATAGCTAAATCTTCTTCTTGCATGTTTCTTCAATTACATAATGTAATGTAACTTAACAGCAGACTAACTAAGACCAATAACTTACTCTGTCCTGCTGTTTGTTTGTGTACTCCAGGATGCTCCAGTCCAATCTGTGGAAATCCCAGAGGTGAGTATTTTATTCTTTTCTCTAACATCAAGAAATTCGTCATATGGTTGAACACATTTTATTTATTCATGCTTTCATTCATATAAAAAGTTTTGACTGTATACTGCATGTATAAATATTGACATGACAGTATCTCTTGTCTCACCAGGTGCCAGTCGCCGTCCCTGAGGCTCCGGTAGTAGAGAATAGTATAGAGGTCCCTGTAACTGAAGTCAAAGAGGTAACGCCTAAACTCTTCATGTCATGCAACAGTTTTAGATGACTACTTTCTACTATACACCCTGAAATCAGAATTGTATTGGTTATGCTATTACTAAATCTCCAAACTGTTTTATGTTACTATTATAATATAATTTGATAGAACATTCAATATCCTTCTCTCATAATTTTTTTCCTGGGATGCTGGCTAATTATTTCCCCTCATTCACTTTGTCTATATGTGTGCTGGTATGTGGAAAATCTTTGTATTCTTTCTCACCTTGTTCCCTACGTCTCTCTCCAGGCTCCTGCCACCCTGGAGACTGCTGACAACCTAGTCGATGACTTTGTTGTCACAGAATCTGCCTCTGCAGTGGAGGTTGCCATTGCTGAGTCTGCTGCTGTCCAGCCGGTGAGAACTACTCGAGGAATTTATCACGACACACAGTTGTTACAGTAAATAAGATACATTCTTCAAGTCCCAGGAAAATTGGCATTTCGTTGGCATCCTGCTTCTGTGATCAGAATAGTTGCAGTTAAAACAAAACTAACCTGAGTGGTTGCATTAGGCCCCATGGCCACCAGAGGGCCACAAAACAATGTAATTTA